GGGCTTGGTGCCCATAGCCCAGCTGTTATGGTGCCAGCTACATGCACCAAGGTGGGTGTGAGCCCAGCCTGGGCCAGCTAAACAACAGTGACAACTGCATCAAGAACATAGCCAGGCGTTGTGGCCAGTGCCTGTAGTCCCAACTACTTGGGAGGCTGAGGCAAGATAATCACTTAAGCCCAAGAGTTGGAGGTTGCTGTGAACTGTGATGCCATGGCATTCTACCCAGGATGACATAGGGAGAGAGAGAGGGAGGGAGGGAGGAAGGAAGGAAGGGAGGGAGGGTCTGTTCATTCCAGTATTAATTGTAAAAGCAGAGAGTTGCAAACCTCACAAAAAACTTTCAATAGGGGCATAAACCATCCTAGCAGTGGGAGTGTGTATTTTTCTGCATGAATGCAATAGTATTTTCCATTGACTAATGTGTGAATGTGACTTCAACTTTCTTCCTACTGAGAGGTAGGGTCCCGTGTCTCTCCTTTTGAACCTGGGTGGGAGCATGGACTGTTCCAATCAATGCAGAGTAAAGCTATGTGATTCCCAGACTGGGTTCTGCTGGTGCTCCTCTCCTTTCCCCCTCTCTCTCCCTCTCTCCCCCCTTTCCTCCTCCCCACCCACCCACCCTTGTCCTGGGAACTCTGGTTGTGAGGAGGCCCAGGTCACGTGGGGAGGCCCTATGTAGGGGTCCCTCAGCAGAATGCTGGCATCAGCTCCCACATAAATGAACAAATGGTTCCTTAGATAAGTCCTGACCCTCTTTAAGTCTTCCAACTGAGATCTAGACTTCAGGAATTGGAAGCAAGCCCGCCCAGAATCTGTGAGCATTCTAGTAAATGATTGTTTGTTTGTTTGTTTTTGGCCGGGGCTGGGTTTGAATCCACCACCTCTGGTATATGGGGCCAGCGCCCTATTCCTTTGAGCCACAGGCGCCGCCTGTAAATGGTTGTTTTATACTACTAAGTTTGGGGGACATGTATGATGCAGGAGTGGAAATAGACAGTGTGAGTGTTGGATTAGTACATAGTGGTTAAAAAAGTAGACATTACTACATTTATAGGCATGGCTAGATTTCAAATCTATACTTTTAAAAATGAGAAGTGGGGGAGGTATAAAACATCATATTGTTTTTGCAAATGAATACCCTAAAGTGGGTACCTGGAGTGGCAGGGGGTGAGGTAAAGATAAATGAGTTTGGGATGAGGGATGAAGGAAGCGAAAATAAGATAAAATTTAAATTAAAAATGGAAATTTTCTAGAATTATTCCAAAAGAAAAAAGTTGAGTAGAACAGAACAAAACAGGTGGTGGCTGGCCGTGGTTTTCGCTCCCTTCATCTCGCTCTTGGGATCATTCCCCATGACTTGTGGGGTGTCTTTGGCTACTAGTTGCAGCACTTAGAGGACCCAGGGTGAGGAAGGCAGGGTCCCTGCCAGAGGCAGCTCACTGCCCACCTGAGAAGGGCACCAGGTTCTCCTGAGGCATTTGTCAGAGATTCTAAGGTGGTTCTAGGAAGGGGTGGAGAGGGGCAGCAGAGGAGGTGGCCTAGGCGATGGAAGGAGACACAGGAAGAGCAAAAGCGGACGGAGAGAAGTGTCGTCCAGAAAGGCAGCGGTGGCGTCTGTAAGGAAATACAAATGTAGCTTGGGGGTGATTACAGGTGGAGCTTGTAGACATGGAAACGCCGGAAGGTGACAACCTGTGGACTTTGAGAGGTTCCGCTTTTCTGGAACTCTGGCCTTGGCTGTGGAAGCACCAGAACGCTCCGCTGAAGGCAGCGACATCTCAGGGGTCAGTCCCTGAGAGCTCATCCCGACTGACCTTGCCCTGCCCCAAACTGTCCGAGGGGATGAGACTAGGTTGAGAACAGCTCTTCCATTTCAGCCACGTCTAAATCCGCAGAGATTCCGATTCCCTCTCCCGCCTCTGTCGACAGTCTCTGAACTTGGCCTCTGGCCTCCCCACTCACCTGAACGCAGAGCTTCGCTCTCAGCCCGGATACCAGAACAAAGCACTGAGGCAGTGGCTCCGGCAAGCACCATTCCAGCCAGACCACGCTCCCCCACCAACCTTGAGCCTCAGTCTGGATCTGCCCATTCGGCAACATCCGCACTGCGCGCCCTGGCTTCTCCGATGCAGTGGTCGGGAATCAAGCCGGGACCCAGCCTCCGTAGTTCAGTGTCCGGGCGCCTGACGCTGCACGGTGCCGGGGCTGAGAACTCGCCCTCCGCAACGCCCAGAAGGCGGGTGCCGGGGGAGGAGGTACCCACCCCTTCCGTCTATTACCTCCTGGAGCTGTTGCAGTCCCAGCGACTTTCTCACGCGCGCCCCCCAGAGGCAGTGGGAAGACGCCAGCGAGCATGGTTCCGCGCGCCATCGCCCTCCTGGACTTGCCCAGCCTCTACCCCAACAGCCTCATACCCACAGGCGTGCTGATTGGCTTCGGTTTACAGGATCAGAGACGCCAGGAGCCTCGTCCAGGGCCATACAACTCCAGAGCAGAGGGAATTAGGATGTAGGCCCCGAGGGAGCCCTGAGGGCCTGAGGGAGAGAAATGGAGGAGACAGCACCAACCTCGAAGGTTCCTGCTTGGACCGGAAGGAAACGCGCAGAGGGGCTCCTCCCAGGTGGGCCCAGGGCAATCCGCATATATTAAATAGTTATCTGAACCGTACTTCTCCGCACCATCTTTTTATGGGGCCCCTCTCTGGATTCAGTCTCTCTATCTATCAAAAGCACCCATCGGTTAGACGATATCTGCCCAGAGCGAACTCTTGTACTCCAAACGAATTGGGGCACTCGTTTCTTCCCCTCCATCCTTGGCCCAGCCCCTCTGGCTGGGTTCGCTCTACCCTTGCAGGGGTGTCCAACATGTGGCCCCGCGGACCGCATGAAGATTATTTGTTTGCTAATCTGTGGTGTTGGATATCGGGAAAATTAAGCAATGGACTTTTTTTTTTTTTTTTGCTCGTCAACTTTCGTTAGTGTTTGGTATTAAATGTGTGATCCAGGACAACATTTCTTTCAACGTGTGCAGAAAAATAAAAAAAGAAGAAAGTTGGACATCCCTGCAAGTCTCTCTGACCCTGGCAGGAAGCAAGGCATGGGAGATTTAGAGAAGCCTAAGATCCCTCCACCCCACCACTTTGGCTCAGTGGGGAGATGAGACCCCATCTACGTGGCTGTCTCTAGGCCGAACAACTGAGTCAGTCTCTACCACAGATTATTTTTACCCCTCCTGGAGCACGATGTGGAGTCAAAGGAGAGGGGTCGATTATCTGGTCCTGGAGTCTGCCAGGAAAGTCCTCCCAACCGAGGGAGCGCAAACACGGGACACCAGAAGCCCTTTTCAGCAGTCTCCAGTAGGCTCACCCAGAGGTGCACCATTTTGTATCTTCAGCCACTGGCTTAACACGATCCCTCCTGGTTTCATTTCCCCGTTTCTCCTCTGCCCCGCAGACTCCAGGGCATCGCTGTGAGGCCAGCCTGCAGCTGCAATTGCAGGCCTGCCGGAGCCACCCACCATGTGGGGGAATGTCTTCTCTTCTCCTGTCAGTTTTTCCTGCTGGAAAATAGTGGGCGATGCTCCCCTACTGTAGTTATTTGGCAAGTTAAAGCTCAGAGGAAACCCTGGGCCTGCACTTTACCTCTGGGAACTGGCAGCACTCAATTGAACAGGAGTAAGGGGTTGGTAATGGAAGGTAAATGTTACCTTCGAAATAACCCGTCTCCAGTGAAGTCGGCTCCACCAGCAGCACCATCACCCGCTCCCAGCGGTAGTGGGTTACAAGGTTATCCCTGAGCAGCCACAGTTCCCAAGGCCGCAGTGGGGCCCGGGACGCATTCTGTCCCCACACTCTCTGCTGCAAAAGTGGGAAGGAACTCCACTCTTACAACGAAGAAACAGGCGCACAGAGAGGAGCACCTGCCCCCAGATCTCAGAGCAGGACCGTGGCTGAGCCAGAAGCTCCCACCCCTTTCTAAGCCTCGGGACTCTCAGGCATCCGAGCAGTGGGGGTGTCATCACGGGGGTATCCACCCTCACTCAATGTGACATCCGACGGAAATCGGGCTGGGCCCCAAGGAGTTGCATTTCCTTACACACTGGGATTGAGCCTGGGAACTGCAGAATTCTATCGAAGTACAGTTGTTATAGAAAACATATTTAATTAACTGTAAATAGTAAAATATGCCTCATTTTTTCCAGCTGTGTTTTGGCACTGTTACCATTTTTAAATTCCACGCGGGATCTTTCAAAAAACAGGTTGTGACCCAGCCTCTTGCAGTTTCTTAGAAGCCTCGGGGTCTCCACGCCGCCCTACACACATGCACATAGATACACAGGCACACACGTGCACTCATGCACATACCGGGCGAACGCACACAGAAGCACACACAGTTACTCACGCTCGATCCAACACTCTCCCCGCGGCAGGATAATTACGATTCCTGCCAGACAGTGATTGGCCAGCCTGTTTCTCATCTCTGCCACACAACCAATGGGGGGCCGCCCAGGAGAGGCCCCGCCCCCCCCGGCGCGGGTGGCGCGGGCCCTGGGAACGGATCACGCGGAGCCGAACCCGGTGCAACCCCCAGCCTGCGCCCCGGGCCGCCCGCCCTCGGCCCAGCCGCCGCCTGCGTGCTCAAGTCCGGTCATCGGCCCGGCTTGCGGCCCGCGGCGGAGTCCTTGGGGCTCATTGGGCTGCCCACCAGGCCCAGCCCGCTCCACCCCGCCCCTGCTGGCTCCTCCCCCTTCCCTCCCCCAGTGAGGCCGGTCCGGGCGGCAACCAGAACAGCGACGAGAGTGGAGAGCTAGGCGGCTGCCGGGCCGGCTGTCGGCGAGACCCCGCTCCAGGCCCAGCCCAGCCCGGCGGCCCCGCGGGGCCCGACGCCAGCGCTCCGAGCAGAGATTCCTAGGCAGGCCCGCGCGTTCGCCCAGAAGCCGCGCGTCCCCATCCCCAGCGGATACCGGGACCTGCCCCCTCCCCGGGCATCCCGGACCTCGAGGAGGACGGCAAAGCAGCCCGACGGGCCCGCGACCGCGATGCCAGACGAGCTGACGGAGCCTGGGCGCGCCACGCCAGCCCGCGCCTCTTCCTTCCTCATCGAGAACCTTCTGGCGGCGGAGGCCAAGGGCGCAGGGCGCGCGGCCCAGGGCGACGGCGGCCGCGAGGACGAGGAGGAGGATGACGACGACCCAGAGGATGAGGATGGCGAGCAGGCGCGACGGAGACGGCTGCAGCGGCGGAGACAGCTGCGCGCGGGCACTGGGCCCAGCGGGGAGGAGCGGGCCCGGACGCGGCTCGTACCGGGCGCGCTGTGCCTGGGTCCCCGGCCGCCCCCTGGTCCTGGCCCGCCCTACGCTCTGAGCTGTGGAGGTGCTACGCGCTGGTATCCACGGGCGCACGGCAGCTACGGAGGCGGCCTCAGTCCTGACAGTGAGTGCGGGAGTCGGGAGGGATGGGCCAGCGGCTGGGCCCACTTCCTCCCCATGCATTCGTTTTGTGACTTCGAGCTTGTCGCGGCCCATTCTGGGCCATCCTCTCCCTTGTATAGCGGGGTCTGGGCGTGCATAGGCCTTCGCGAAGCCCTTGATTGGACCGATTCCGAGGCCTGCGCTCCGGGACAGGGGCTCCACGAGGAGAAGGTCGAAGGCGCCGGGCTCTGGTGGTCTCGAGAAGGCTGAGAGCCCGCGGAGAGATGCCAGGGAACAGGACAACAGACCGCTGAAGAAAAGAGAAACAAAAAAGAGAGTGAAATAGGGCAGAGAGAGAAATAAGAGACCTGGAGAGAGGGTGGGAGCAAAGGAAATGAAAGGATGAAGAAAGAAGGAAGTGGAGAGGGGCAAGAGGATGGGGGGGGGGCTGGAGGAAAGAGAAATCCAGAGTGACAGAAGAGAAGAAAAAGGGAGTAAGAGATAAGGAGCACACATGAGTCAGACGTGGAAAATAAAGGGGGGCATTGAAGAGAGGGTGCCACTGTTGCGGGGCTGATGTGGAGGGAAGCCTTCTTCCACAGCATCTGCACCCCCCAGCCCCATTCCTTCTGTGCTTCCACAGACAGCCTGGGGCAGGGGCCTTGGTCCTGGCCCTCCCAGGCACAGGATCTACCAGGCAGGAAGGTAGCCTGAAGCCCCCATCCAAAAGAGAGAGCCCCTCTGTCTTTTTTCTGCTCCTCCTTCTCCCCTCCTTTGTTCCCTGATGAGGCTTTGGAGACTGGAGGTTGGGGCTTCTAACCCCTCTAGCCTGGGCATCTGCCCCCTGAGGGCTGCCCCCCCTCCATAGTTCACTGACCCCTTTTTAGACCTGTCCTTTGTGGGGAGACCTGTGGGAAGAAAACCAGGAAAGCCACTCCAATCCTCCAGCCCTGGCTTTGTCATAGCCT